TATTATTATTACTACTACTACTATTATTATTATGAGTACTACTACTACTACTACTCCCGCTCCTACTGCTACTGCTACTGCTACTGCTACTGCTACTGCTACTGCTCCTGCTCCTACTGCTACTGCTCCTGCTCCTGCTCCTGCTCCTGCTCCTGCTCCTGCTCCTGCCCCTGCTGCTGCTGCTGCTGCTGCTGCCACGACCACCACCACCACCACCACCACCAGACCTACCACTAAGGCTACTGCTACTGCTACCCATACTCCCACGATGACGACGACCACGACGACGACGCCTCCTACTACTACCACTACCACTACTACCGCTGCTAGCAGCAGTACCGCCACCAGTTAGGGTGCGCCGCAAGTATCACTGTTCGTCCAAGTAGGTGCGCAGCACCTAATACTGCTCAAGAACAACACATGCCAAGACTGTGTTACGTGTGCCCAGTTTAAATGACATCTTGTCAACAGCTCTTCCGAAGCCGTAAGAACTGCTGCCGCAACACAGTTTGCTCCGGCAGTTGTTCGACCCGGGCCCGAGGTGCTCTCGATGGGCGCAGGTGCTCGAGATCCTTCAGCAAGCCGAGTTGGAAGGCCTTCCGCTGGATGACCGCTCGCTCGGCTTAGGGATTTCTTCTGTCAGCCGCTTGGTTGTTCTTCTAGTATAGGGTTAGTAGGGTGTGGAAATCGGGCTTCGCATGATGCACCATAAAGGCTATTCGCGGTCATGCTTTAACATCTTAAACATTTTGAAGTTGGACTCCTCGCTGAGCGCCATCCACAATGAGCCTTCAAGAAGAACCTAAACCCCTGAAGCCTTGAACCGCCCTAAGCTCCTATAAAACGTAAACCCCCAAACCCCAAACCCTAAAACCTAGGACCCTCAACCTTAAAGAACCTGAACCAAGGCAAGGGTCGCTGTTGGCACGAAGGTCTTCGGCTTATGCACCTACTGCGGCGGATGGACACTAGCAGCACACTTTGAGTTCAGTTTAGGATCCGTGCTTGAGGGCGGTAGAGGCTTCGCTGGTGACTTCTGTCGGATCTAAGTTGTGGCTTCTTCGGCGGTCCGCTAGTGACTTCTCACTTGCTTGCTGCACTTGATCTTCCCTCCCTCCCCTCCCCCCTCCCTCCCCGCGCTAACACTCTGAAGTCGGAGGCTGAACAAACGAGGCCGAAGCCCCAAACACTGACCTCTCCGTTGTCAAATTGAATCCGCGAGAAACCCGAGGCCGTAAAGCTGGAGCCCGATTCCAAAGCCGGAAAAGTCACAAGTGAGTTCAAGCACTGTTGCCAAGACGTGTGAGACTCGGCAGAAGTCACAAGTGAAGCTCCTCTGGGGAAGTTACAAGTGAGACGCGGGAGAAGTCACAAGTGGACCTCCCATCTTTAGGGCAGGCGATGTGAGGCACAGTAACTCTTTAGGCTGCGGTAGAACAGACTGAACTGCCCCCGAAACCTTCTTGCTTCTGTCGACTGCTACATAAGCTCTCCTGAGGTAGTCGACATGCTCTGGGTAGCCACAACGCCCTGCTGAGCTGCCTGGATTGGTCCGGACATTGGGAGGACCTGAACTTGATCCGCTTTTTTTGTTTTTTCTGCTCCTTCCCTTTCCTTCCCTTCCCTTCCCT